CACGACAGACGAGTGCAAAAAAAGTCCCACTGACTTCAGAGGGACCAGCAGAAGTTCATCTATGGTGTTTCACTGCTTAATAATATCCAATTCAACGTATTGCTGGCATAGGCAATTCTCAAAGATCACATTCTTGTCAAAAATGTGCCTCCTGGTTTTGAACTTGCTATGACACGTTTCGATGTGCAGCTGAACAAGGGATGGATACGGTCCGTTCTTCAGTAGAAACACTTTTTTTTTCTTTGTGTTGGATCTAATTCATTTAGCTGTTTTTGGGCAATTCATATCCAGATTTTATTAGAAGTGGAAACTCCTTTTATTTCCTTAGTTTATTCAGCACTCAGAGAGCTGGCAATATATTTAATTTCATCTCTACATTAAATTTCATGTTGTAATACCTATCTCCCCAATTCCATTTCCCTCTTTGAATGGGTGGATGACAAGATAGTTCGTTACCTAAGAATGTGAATAAGATAAGCCTATATTGTGGATGGAGAAATACTGATGAGTGTCTGCATAATCATAAGAGTAATCAATCCAATGATAACATGATTTTTTTTTCCTGAAGCAATATTCAAAATGTGTGCGTATGTACGTGGGTCTACACAATATAAACCACACACAAATGTAATTGCATATTTGTTTAGACAACCATGCATCTAGCAAGGTAAAAAGCCCAATAATAGATACTGATATAACGGATGGCTTGTGCCTGTGTGATGATATGTGTGTGTATGCAAACCCACAAGTATATATATCACATTTTAAGCACAACAGAAGAAAGCTAAGTAGATGTTGTTAAGTACTGCTAATTTACATGAGTGACAGATACACTTATGTATAATTTCCCACTTTCTTACTCTGAAATATATATATTTTATATTATTAAATGAGCGAGGTTAAACAAAGAAATCATTGTGAGCACTCAATCCCAGGTGCTAAAATAGACCAAAATAACACAGGAAGCTTCTACCTCCAAAAATCCAAATGCGGGTCCTTAATATTTCATTATCACAAAAACTGATCTCATTACACAGCAGATTCCAGCTGTGGGATGGGGGGGGAGGGGGGGAAGGGCAAGAAATTCATAATGGAGGGATTATTGCTTTGACAGCATGAAAAACTTCCCTCCTGCGCCGTGTCCTTTGTTCTGAGACAGCGGTGGTTTTTGCAAGTGCCTTTAGCAACTTATAATAGCCGAAGGATTCCTCAGTTCCCTGGAGTTTGTACAAACGCAGTGCGGTCGTGTTAGCTGGATAGAACTGATGAAAAAACAGGGAACGGGGTAAGCTGCATTTGATAGGATTTCACCAACCCAGTGCATGGCGGGGTCCCCGAGCATCATGAAGCGGGAGAGGCAAAGTGATCCAGGACTCCTGGGAGCCTCTAGAGATGGACAAAACCGTATCTCCCCTCAACAGACTGTAGAAACACGCCTGGGGCCCTCCGGCTTTGTTGAAACCCCTATGGCATTGCATTCCCATCACATCCCAGTGATAGTTGCATAGTCGCATATTGTGAGCCATGCCCACAGATTCCTCCTGAGCCGTCCCTGGGTATCTTGTGTCTTCCTTCTGGGTAATGTTTGGTTACCTGAAAGTGCCCTCCTGATTGAATTAGGGAGACAGGATTACAATAAACAGCCTTATACTTCACCTTCATATATTTTGTTTTTCCTAGTGGATCCCCCGACTACAGAGAGGAGGTGGACAGATTAGACAGAGTCCAGTGGAGGGCAACAAATATGGTTATGGGGCTGGGGGACATGAGTTGCGAAGAGAAGATGAGGGAAATAGGCTGATTTAGTCTGCAGAAGAGAAGACTGAGGGGGATTGAATACAGCCTTCAGCTCCCTGCAGGGGGGCTGCAAAGAGGATGGAGCTGGGCTGGTCTCCGTGGGGGCAGATGACAGACCAAGGAGCAATGGGCTCACGCTGCAGAAGGGGAAGTTGAGGTTGCATATTAGAAAAAAACTCTCACGAGGAGGGCAGTAAAGCACTGGAGCAGGCTACCCAGAGAAGTGGTGGAGTCTCCATCTTTGGAGGTTTGAAGACCTGGGTAGACAAAGCCTTGTCTGGGATGATGTAGTTGGGGCTGGTCCTGCTCTGAGCAGAGGGTTGGACTAGATGTGACCTCCTGAGCTCCCTTCCCACCCTCATTTTCTATGATCCTAGGACCTTCACTCCCATTCCCAGGATCCCCCATCCCTATCTGGAGCTCTGCCCTTTCCTAGCCAGCCTCTCTGCTGTAAGATCCTGCCTCCAGACTGCTTGCCCTGACTTCAGTTTTGGCTCTGGGTGAATTTACACTAAAGGAAAACATGATGTGGGAAGGTGGGAACCAACCACAATAGTCACAGGAGTTGATCCTTGGTGTCTGCCTTTAGTTTAGCTCAGAGGTTTCAAACTCACCAAGCCTCATAGGCTGGATGAGTGGCAAAGGACCAGGCTGGCATGCACCACATGCAGGGTCCAGCTCAGGGTGCCCATGGGCTGCACTGGCTCTACCTTTGAAACCCTTGGTTCAGCTGGTGAATAAAAGCTGTTCAGTACCAGTTACCATACTACAGCAAGGAGGACACTTTCTTGCTGGCAATCAAACACATGCTTCACAGAGTAAGCGCTTCAGGCCATCTGGACTTGTTTTGGGGAACAGCATCGGGCCAGGAACGATGGCCTAAAACCATGTGTTGTGTTGTGAGGTTATTGGTTGTATTAGGGAAACATCTAGAGACCTCAGGGATTAGAGTCCCGTTGTGTTAGCAGCCACACACACAGCAAGACCGTCTTGGGGCCCAGACAGCCCCACTCCAGGCAGACAAGGCCAAGAGGAAAGGGGTGGAAGCAGAGTCAGAGAGAAGTGGCACGGCTTGGCCACGGTCTGCATGCTGCACATCGAAAACAGGTTTCCCAACCCTCCAGGGCCCTAGCCGCTAGCTTAGGCTTCCTCCCCATCACTTGTGAACATAATTTGGAGCAAGAAACAAAATGTGTTTCTGATGCTGAGCAATGCTTGAAAGAGCAAAATCCTTTAAGAATGTTACTAGCTAGAAAAAGCCTTAAATGCTGCTCAGAAACTACATAGTTATTAGCATGACTATAAAAAACTAATGCTCACCCTTTATTATTATCATTATTATTATTATTATTATATAGTTTAGTGCTTCAAAGTAGGTGCTCCCATAAATCTAGGCTTCTACATGAATAGGTAAGAATATGCAAGTGTCTGGTGTATTCAAAGTCCCCTCTGCCTTTTTCCATCACCTACAACTCTTCATTTTCCATCCTTTTTCAGAAAACATTTCCGTTCTCTAGGTGTCGGGGGAAGAGAAGAGAATAGGGATGTACAAAAGACAAAGCTGCAAAGAAATGCTGCCTCCAAAAGTTTCTTTCATTCAAAAGTATGGCTACAAGGTCACGTTTCTGGAGGCCCAGGTCATTCTAATCAATTCCCCTTCAGTGTCTCACAGCTTGAATGCAAACCAAAGGCAGTCTGAGAGCTTCGCTCCCAGCAAGACTTCTACCGGACTGACAATAGCCCCACGTTTCTGTCTGAATGGGACTGCACTCAGAAGAAAATGATACCAGGATTTTCTCCTAATTTTTGCGTGGAGAGAGGAACAATAATATGAAGCATCCACTTCAGGGTGCATGAAGAGCAAAGGAGTGCTCACGCTTCCTAATGAATTGGTGACCAATGCACCCAAACCCATTCCACGGTTGGGCTTTGGGTCCAGGAAGGGCCGAACGCCAGTGAAAGACAGAGACATTGCAAGCACTGGATCATGGGCAAATGGTTTTCCTTTCTGACATTAAATATCTAGCATCTCAGCAAAGCTCCTTTGCAGTTTCACCCTCTGAAAGGTGAACAGGATTCAGGTGTGGGTTTTTCAAGTGGGAAGATGCAGGCTTGAAACATCCCCCTCCTGCAGATCATTCTCCGCCTTCAGCTTTCCATTCCCTAAGCCACTACCCGGAGTCACCTCGTGGCACAAACCAGGTTCCCGGTCCTCTTGCAGCTGATTAAGCAAAACTCAAGTGCTCCTGAGCAAATCTACTTCCTTACAGCTTCCCCCAAGTGCCGTACACTCCTGGTACCCATGAACTGCTGCCCAACCAAAGACCACCTAAGCATCTTTCTCCCCACCTACCACTTTAGCAAAGCACAGAGCAGAGCAGAGGACACCTTTTATTGGCCCATATGAGCAGCATCTCGTTAGTGGGCTGACAAGCTGCAAGTGGGGCTGCACCACCCCAGCTGCTCTGGCCCAGGTGTCTCTGCTGCAGCAGGGAAGTTTGCCTTAGCAGTTACCCAACACAGCTGCTTCCCCTCCAGCTGCCTGGGACAGAGTCTTTCCAGGGGGCTGCAGCAGCCCAAAGCAAATCCTGTGCTTTTAAAATACTGAGTTTTTTTAGCTCTCTATCTTGCCCTTCACTGCTGAGGATTATGGCCCTCAGGAAAGAAAAGCCCTCTAAGCAGCATTTTGCTATATAACGTTCACCAGCTGCTTTGCAGATCTGAGCCTCTGCAATTTTCTTTCATGGAAAACTTCAACATATGGGCAAAGCTTTGCCGGGATGTGGTTTCTTTCTTTTTGAACCTGCCTTTCTGTTCTCTGTCCAGCACCTAGCACACGAGGGTCCTGATTCCTGATGGAAGACCCTCACTGCTGCTGCAGTACAAATGCTAAATCAAAACCGGCGTGACTCTTGGCAAACTCTTTCTAACCCCCCAGAGGAGGGGTTATATGTCAAAGGCCAACTTTTGCACTGATACAGCAGGAAGGTTCAAGGATTTGAATGACAAAGTAATGTGTTTGCAAATAGGAAGAGGGAAAAAAAGTATGGTTTAAATGCACAAGAGATCTGTTTTAAGAGTCTGTGGCTGAGTAAATTTAGGATCATCTGGATATATTCTGTTTCTTCTATGCGGCTGCATTAGGAACATTCAAAATATGAAACAAGCCAGGAAAACAAACCCTGGTAATTATCTTTTCCTTCTGCTAATGTTTTATTGAGTTGCTTTATTGAGCCCTCCATCCTATAATCACAGGAAATTCTAAAATGCACTATTTGGAAGCCAGGGGAGCTGATTTTGTTCCAGTGGGTTATTATAGCCTTGGCAAAACCTGGAGGCTGCAGCAGAGAGGAGAAAAGCAAGGTTGAATGAAAGGGGGGCGTCATTCCCAGGTGGAGATGGAATAAATCGGGGTGTAGCCAGTTCCATATACAATTCAAGGTCATTCCTTTCATCTGAGTTGTATTTATTTCCCCGAGAGGTTTTTTCCCCCCGGGTCTGACCCATCTCAAGCATCCATGTCGAACATGCATCTTGCCGCCAGGTGCATTAGAAAAACTACAGTGACCTTTTCGGTGAGCAGTGGCTTGGTCCTCTCCTTGTTGCCAGCCTAAGTAATAAAGAGGAAGGGAGGGAATACAGAACAGCAAAAAAGGTTAAAGCTGGTGCCTGTAGGTCTGCAAGTAGGTTATGGCGCTCTATGAGCTGGATCTGAAATATTAGCTGCCAGAATAAAAGGTAGCAGCAATGGGTGACCCCCAGAAGTCTGTATGGCATCAGAAGGTGGCGGGGCGTGCCACCATGAATGTCCCCTGCCCAACAGCTCTTACACCGTGGGCCGTATGTACTGAGGACAGCTCGCATGAGTACATTAGAGACTTGGGCTAAGTACAGACCGGGGATGAATTGATTCAGTTTTCACAGGTTAGTCTAAGCTGCGTAGATTGAACTGAGAAGCAAGTGAACAGACGTTCACTTTTGATTCTGGAAATGCGGCCACATGCCTGCAGAAGCCCAGGCCAGAAGCCAGGGGGCGCTAGAGCGCACTTCCCGAGCCAAGGCTAGCCTGCCCACCCTGCGAGGGGAGGGGGGGGGTCACAGGGGAGGTGCATAGCATCCTGGGATACTGTGGGATTGTGTTTTCACTTGAATCTGGAGGGGATGTGGGACGGAAGTTCAATAAACCGATTGAACCTAAATCAGTTCAGTCTGCTACTACACCCATCCAGGTCTCTCTTAAATCGGTTTCAGCCATTTTGAAAGCAGTTTATGTGCACTGAACTTCTGTTGTGCTACAGATTTGAACCGGTTTCCAATCCCTTATGTGTAATTTGTGTCCCTTCAGAGTGGCACTGGGCGTTCCCTGGCTGTGTGCACGATAACCACTAGGTGACATGTGTTGGCATTCAGAGCACAGAGCCAAACTGGGCACACAAGGGACATTTTCACACCCATGGTCTTCCCTTCCCTGCTATAGACATGCCCTTAGAGCTGGGGTCTGCTTGGTTAAATACCTATGGTCTGTTTCTAATGAGATCTGCAGCCACGTTGAGAACCGAGGTCTTCAAGCATGATTTGGAGGGGCCTCCTGGCCAGGACCTTCATAAAGGGAACAACAATTTTGCAAAAAGATTGGCAAGAGGAGCAAGGAGGGGAAGACTCCAGAGCCCGGCCAGGCTTGGAAAATTCCACGGAGCCGAATGACACTTCCTGCTGTGTGTCTGCCGACAGAGGCCTGGCCATGAATATTTTGTGCTGTGTCTAGCAAGCATTTCACTTCATTTTCACCAGTCCTCCTGAGGCCAAAGCAGCAAAACAACAAATTCGAGCCCCGTGTTTCTCGAAAAGGCTCCTCCGCACGTTGCGTTCCAAGCAGCGACCCTTCTTGGAAACAGAGGCATCAAATCCCACGTGCATCAGAGACATTCGGTCTTAAATTTCTGCCGCAGGGCTTTTTGCACATTCTGGATTTTCTCCGTGATGACCGTGTCGCTCAGGTGATCCCCAAACTTTTGCTTGAGCAGAACCCGAATGATTTTGATGCATCGCTCATCCATCATGGGCTTGGCCTCGCGAAAGGTGTTGCCTCTCCGCCCGGTGATGGAGTGGCTCTGGATATAGTCGGACGTGAAGAGCTTGTAGAGGAGGGTTTTGCAGGCGGTGCTGATTTTCTGGTCGAAGCGGATGGCTTCTTTGAGCTGCTCCTTCGTGTAGCCATTAAACAGCTCCACCACCTCGCAGGGCTGCCGGTGGGGCTCTTCCTGGAAGGAGAGCGATTCCAGCCGTTGCACTTTCCGCTTCAGGGACAGGACCTCTTGCTGCAGGTCCAAGACGATCCTCTCCAGTTGCTCAATCTTTTGTACCCTGCAAAAAAAGATCAAGCATACATGCATGAATCTGAGTTGCAAGCCACCCTTCGCCTTGTAACCGGTGAGGCTCGGTGTGTCCTGCCGATTCAGATAACAGCTTTTCTCCCAAATACCTGCACGCTTTATGGCTGGAAAACCACGCGAGGAATGGCTGTTTCTCTCCCAATGCCCCCCTGCATTCAGCTATAGTGGACTTGGATATAAGTATTATATTATTATATAATTATATATATATATAATATTATTTTAACCAGAACAGAGCCAAACATTTCTGACTGTCCAACATATTTGGGAACTTGGTTCTCAGACCCTCATCCAGCTTGTTTACGTTTTTGTTTTTTTTAACTTAGACTCCCAAGTTAACTCATGAAAGTTTGCCTGGATGAGGATTTTCACCTTTGGCCTTCCATATGGCTTTATTTTAAAGTTTAAAGGACGGTGTCAGTCTATCCTGGTTTTAGCTCTACTTTCCCAGAGTCCTGGGGCAGCTTGGTAGAGTCAGAAACAAAACTCATAGAGAGAGACACACAAGCAATGGCAGTGCAGGATGCATAGTGCAAAGAGGGATTTGTTTCTGGGGAATCAAATTGTCTAGAGACTCGGGATCCAGATCCTACATTTCTCATGCAAGGCGGCGGCAATGACAAAAGTGAACTCAAACTGTCAGAAGTCCATCAAAGATAAATAATGGAGGCTTATGCTGAAAAGTGATACGATTTTTCAGTGTTTGGGATCTTTGCTGCTGTGATACTAGTACATAAACCCAAAGGTCTGAAGGAAGCTGTAACCAGAGTCTACCCATGTTAGGGGTTGGTACCTCTTGGGTCTAAAAAAAATGACCGTGTGTTGTCAGGCAGCTGTTATCTAAACCCAGTTATTTCCCGGGGTATTAAGGGAAATGCAGGTTGGTGCAGGCACCTGTGCCTCCATCTTCCAATAATTACCTTTCCATTGCACTGGAGCCAACATTTTGCTGAACGACCTCAAAATCCTCTGTCTCCTGAGACGCTTCCATCTTTGGTTCATCACAGCTGAATTTAAAAAAAAACACACTGCACAATAAATAATGGAGCAAGATGCTTCAGATGTATTTCCTAGGGATTAAACCAGCCAGCTCCACTGTCATTAAATCAAGCATTAACTCGATTTAGAGGAAAATGTGATAGCACCCGGTGTTACAAGACATCCATTTTAGACACCTGTTGCAGGTCTCGGTAGCTGGCACGGAAAAGACTAGCCATTTTAATACATGGTAAATATTGTAGACCTGATTTCCAATTATCTTACCCATGTGCAGTCTCCTATGACACAAGGGCAAAGCTAAATACTACCATCTGTGACCTGGTATTGATATAAACTATGACGGCATTGACTGGCAAGGCAGTGGAAATCCAGGCCCTTGCTATAGGTTCAACAGATTTATTCTGAATTTATCCTGAGGTCAAATTCTGGGTCTCTGGGGGCACTGGTCTCTGCCTTGTCCTTCTCAAAGCCTTCTGGGCAGAAATGCAGAGCCCTCCACAATGCCTCCAGACCCTCAGGGGACTCCCCTTTATCTGCTAGGCCTTGAGAAGCAGAACAAACCAGCACGTACGGCATCAAGGAGCAAAAACACAGCTCTGCAAGCATGCACAGGGAGCGATGAGATATGCTTTGAAAAACATGCATCATCCTAATTGCTCCGGAGCATATTACCTGTTTGCACAGAGACGTTGCTGGCACTGAGCTATAATACCATCCGACTTCCTCTTCACTGCCAGGGTGACATAATCTAGAAACAGGATTGGAGTATGATGCAAAAAAAAAAGAGAGATGTTGCAGTTGTTATCACCTGGATCCCTCCGTCTCCAGGACCAGTTCATCTAAACACTTCTGCTTGATATCAAGGTAATAGCCTGTCACCAAATGATCAGCCATGTGCAACTCAGGCCTCTTATTTATATCTTGTAGAGAATTTGAGCAAACGCTTGTCCTACAACACCTATTTATATTTCAACCACAATCTCCATAGCAGGGATCTTGTGCCATCAGCTAGGGCAGAGAGAGGTGGGTGACAAGAGACGAGTCTAGGGACACTAGTGCAGTAATTGGTATGGATGGAAATACGTAGTACACAGGGTGAGACTTGCATGGGATATTTGTGGGTTGGCGGATGAATGGATACACGGACTGTGAGATGGGCAAAACTGGAAAGGATCAGATACATAGATCACCATACTTCCCAAGGCATGATAATTAATTAAGCAAGGAGGGCTCTTCGCTGGCCTATGTGGAAAGAATGATTAGAGTGTAAGAAAAGTTGGGGGGTTTTTACTGGGCCCTGAACAACCCTCTACTATGCAAGGGGTCACCTTTTAAAGCCGCCTCATCAAATGAGAAATGCTAAGGATAGAAGGGAGTCAAGGTGACCCCTTGTATGGTAGAGGGTTGTTCAGGTCATACAGAGCCCAGTAAAAACCCTGCAAATTTGGTATTAGTGAATAATGCAGTGTGCCTCTCACCTTGAGATGTCTCACCCCCAAGGGGGGCACACTGCCTTATTCACTAGTACCAGCATTAACGTTGGCATCCAAAGCAGAGCAAGAATTGGAGCAAATCGATGAATGGCCCCATTGCACAGCCCGTAATCCCAGCTGCTTTACCTCTGCTTGCTGTGGCGGGCCTTGCTTCTTCATTTTGGGACGTCCCAGGCTCAGCCAGGCTGACGAATGGAGATGCTGGGTTGAAGGCACTTGAACCATGGCGAGGCACCGACACTGCGCAGTGGGGCCCGGGGTTGCTGCCCAGGCTGGATCTCTCCTTTATGAGCAACGAGGCTGCCTCCTCGTGCCGGACACCCGCATCGTCCGCCCTGAGTGACGACTTGACGTGGAAGGCCCTGTTGCCAGCGTACTTCCTCAAGGGGGTTCCTGGGGTCCACTTGGGAAAAGTCTTCCTCGATTTCTTAAGGGAAGGAGACAGCACGTGGTGCACGGCGGGCTCTTCCTCTGAAAGCATTTAAGAGGGCATACAGTTAAACGGCATGCACACCACATCTAGACTCCCACTGCCCACAACCACGTCCTCAGCCCTGACCACATGCACACAGCAGTAGGAGTCGCAGGGGGCTAACTAGGGTGCATTTATATCCCATCTCTTTTAAGGCCACTGTGCGTATAAGCTTACCAAGTGCAATTGGTTTCCTAGAACAAAAATACCCACTTTTTGTCCTATCTCCTTGCTCCAGTGCAAAGCTGGACTTACTTAACTTCTCCAGCAGCTGTCTATCTTCCTGCAGCCTCTTCTCTAAAATATCCTTCTGCTCTGTAGGG